AAAATTGTAGAACCACAGGTAGAGTTGGATGGGCGGAGGCTCTTGAATCCAGCCTTCCGCTCAGTGCAGTTGGTCCTTGACTTACAACAATTCATTTAATGACCATTCAGAGTTACAACGGCGCTGGAAAAAGAAGGTATTGAGGACCATTTTTTCACCCTTAGGACCATTCCAGCATCCCCATGGTCACGTGATTTGGATGCTTGACAGCTGGTTCATATTTACAATGGTTCCAGTGTCCATGTGATCCTCTTTTTGCGACCTTCTGACAAGCAAAGACAACGGGGAAGCTGGATTCCCTTAATGACTGTGTGACGAATTTAACAACTCCGGTGATTCCCTGAACAAATGAGGCAAAGAAAAGTCGTAAAATGGAGCAAAACACACTTCGTAAATGTCTCCCTTAGCAACCTCATTTCTGGGCTCAATTGTGGTTGTAAGTCGAGGTCTACCTGAAATTTCCCTTCCCTTCTCAATTATGGTCATAAGTTGAGGACTACCTGAAATTTCCCTTCCCTTCTAGCTTCTTGAGAAGTTTGAACTCAGAACAAGTTACCGGGTAGAGTGGTATTTATAGACCAATGTGGGGCAAGTTAATCAGTAATGGATTCAGCCTGCAAGCTCGGATGAATTTCAATATGTAGAATAGTTCTCATGTCATTAGCCTGATTGACTTTCTATCATACAAGCTGGTGCAAGTATATTTCAATAGTTACAGAACCGAGCGGATCAACTGGGAAGGCCCAAAGTACACACGAAGCAACGTGATCAATCCCAACCTGACAAAATTACATTTGATGTTCATTATAGTAATCTAGAGTCGTGCCAAAAAGTCGACATCACCGCAGAGTGGTGAAGGTTATTATTCTTGGGGAAACTCTTTGGTGTGAAGATAAATAAAATGTGAGCACAGCGTTTGTATTTTCTTTGTGTTTGTTGAAATTCTTGAGACACTTCGCCCTTTTAAATCAACTGTCGGTATTACTGTACTGCTTTAGTCATCAGTCATTTGACTAATTGATGAATTTTTTTTCATGAGGTCTCAGTGAGGCTAACCAAATTTGCCTTTGCCACACCTTTTTATATCACTGGCAATCAGGGATGTGCATAACACAGTTATGGCATGGGATGTACGAGATGTTCCTGCAAATTTGACGTTGCATTTTTGATTGCAGACATAATTTTGAAGTACGGTTCTGAAGTTACATATTTTTAAAAACTCCCTTATCTAGTTTCCAGGAAGGCTCCTGGCCCTGCTTGCTGGAAATTGAGGTCAAAAGTTTCTGTAATTTCTGAGAAAGACTTTCTGAGGTGGGAAACGCATGCGGACTATAGAGGAAGTGCTAAAATAGGCACAGCACCTCGTAATGTGTGAGCGCACAAAGAACTTTCAACTCCCCCAAAACATGGAAACCTTAAGTTGTCCTCATAGGCACAATTGATTGATTCCTTCCATCTTGCGACATCACCATACCCATTCAAGCTTTGGACCATTAAAAGTTACCCAATCCTGATGTAGCGCAACTTTTAATTGAATCAAGGACTCTGGAAAAGTATGATTTGTATGTAACGTTCATCATCAACCCCAAGTAGTGGAATATGCCCATGATATGCAGAAGATACTCCTGCCTCTTGATTGATATGAGAGATACTCCATTCTGCATCCTTGGAAAGCTGCTAAGCGGACTTGTAAAATAGTCTACACCCGTGATGGCGAACCTATGGCACGCGTGTCACAGGTGGCACGTCGAGCCATTTGTTGCCGGCATGTGAGCCACAGGCAAACTTACCTCACTGCACATGCGTGAGCCTCATAGCTGATTTTCGGCCTGTTTTTGGCCTTTTTTGGCCTCCCAGAGGCTTGAGGAAAGCCTTTGCAGGCCGAAAAATAGGCCCGATTCGTCACTTCCTGTATTTCCGGAAATACCAGAAGTGACAAAATGGGCCCATTTTTCGGCCTGCAAAGGCTGCAGAAGTTTTCCTCAAGCCTCTGGGAGGCCGAAAAGGGCCAAAAATCAGCTGGGAGGCACAGTGCAGGTAAGAAAGCGGCGGGGGGGGGCAGGGGGGAATTGCATGCGCATGCACAGGGAGTGTGGAGGGGGCGCGTGCATTGCCTTCTGGGTGCTGGCATGTGAGCAAGCGTGCACACAATTTTTGGCACAGGAGCCCCAAAAGGTTAGCCACCACTGGTCTATGCCAACCTACTTAGTAAGCGTTAGAGCTCTTGCTATGACAATTTCCAAAGCTATTAGTTTTCCCACCACAAAAGGATGACCAGTGATAGAGTCCTTCTCCCCTACTTCTCCCCTTTTTCTACCACCATGGGGTCAGGAGTATCAGCGGAGTGGGTGGGAAAGCGTGGGAATTCCCAGGCCAGCGGAGCAGTTAAAAATTGGGAGGCTGGGCAGTTATAATCACAATATATCAGGCACCAAACATCACACATGAAGGTTCAATTCAACTGATTTATTGCTGCAAAGCCTCTTATGCAGAGGAATCTTCTCAACTAAAGGTTAGCACCTGCTTGGAGGTCAAGGTCCACAGAATTTAAGGTAAGTTGAACTTGGACCATTTATGGCTACACAGGGATTCTAGGCTGATGCCTCTTTTAATTCCACCCACCCCAGATTTTGCCACTCCTTCTCCTACACATTACAATAAGTGTATCATGTTGAGTAAGACTGAAGTAAATCCTAGTAGCCTGCGTGAATGTTGAGTCGGGTGGCATATTTATGCTCTAGAATTTCTGAATTTCTTAATTTATTCCCCATCACCGTGCTTTGTTGGTATTTGGGAATAAACAATTTCTGCCTTTTGCCCAAAGAATAAATTTGTTCACATTTATTTTGTCACAAATGCTTTTGAGCAGCCAACGGGCTACTGCACTGTTCCCTTTGGGGGAAACCTTACAAAACCTGTAATTTGGCTTTCAATTAAGTTTGTGTTGACACAGGTGAAGGGTAGTCATCCATTTCGGATGCTGGCAAGCAGGCAGGGCGAAACACATCATCTGTGTTGTGTAGTCTTGACAATTAGGAGGAAGAGGAAAGAAAAGGAAACACTTGGGTGCCAGCAGGATTTCTAGCTCTTGAGTGAAATAAATAGATGGTGGGGTTTTTTTTTTTTGTTTCTGAACATAAAGCAAGCCCTCCTGGGAAAAACAAAATCCTGAAGCTAGACTTACTTCTTGTTGTCTGTAAATCAACACATAATGATTCATACATACTTTCATTTGTTAGGCTAATACTAGCAGTGTAAGTTGAGTGCATTTCCAGAGGAACCAGCCACAACACTGGACTCTGTTCTTTCTATTGAACTGGTGGATGCTGCAACATTGGAAATTTTCTTAAATTGGGCAACCGTTTGTCTGAAATAGTATAGGGTTTCGTGCCTGAACAGGGAGGGGGTTGGAGTAGTCCTTTCCAACTCTTGTTCTTCTGTTTCTTTCTCATTAAAGCATTTCCTAGGAATCAGAACACAAAACATTTGGTTCCTCGGAACACGGAATGCTCATTTTTGAGTTTTGACCGGGACTGTTTTGTTCTGTGTTTAAAGCAAAACTTATCTGTCCTGCACACCCTTCAAAGAAGGCCTGAACACGTCAACATTGACTGCGAGCACAGCAATACATCACCCGACAATCTCGCAAGCATTTTGCTTTTCTATTTTTATTTTCCGCACATATATATATATATATATGCACACAGAGAGAAAAAGACTGGGGAAAAAAGTGAGAAGATCAGCAGATTTTTTTAAAAAATTGTTTAAACGCAATCCTGGTTATTCAAAAGTTGTTTTTATTTGGACAAGGCCATTCTTTACCCCCATTAAATGTGCATTTTAAAATCTGCACCGCGCTTATTTTTGTCGGGGGATTCATTCCTGTGTCTGAAAGCTCTTGATCCATTGAGATTTTGCAAGCGTGGTGTATATCCAGGTGCATTTCAGGCGCATAAACACATTATCAACCAACCGGTTGGTGGAACAGGCAATCTCTTTCCCCCAGATGCCCCCCTTTTTTCCTCGTTTTATTTTGGTGGAATCTGCAAGTGGCTTGATGTATTTGACACATGTGTGACAGCTCCCTGCATATGAGAAGAGCTGTGTGTTCAGACTACCCCAGCTGTGTGTGTGTTTGTCTGCACATTAAGCCAGAGAGCACCCGCTTAGTCAGATCTGACAATCACATGTGAGCCGGTATTATTTCCACTCCAGAGTGCATTTTAATGCCAAGAGCTTAACATTTGACAAAGAAATTGTCAGGATATTGTGCTGCCCTGCACTTCTGAAATATCCTCACTCTAGCAGCTCAATATTCTTTTATTGTGCATACATAAAAATAGCTCTTTCTGAACTCCTTTCCTTTCCTTTCCTCTCCTCTCTTCCCCTCTCCTCCCCTCCCCCTCTCCTCCCCCCTCTCCCCCTTCCCACCCTTTCTTCTCCTTTCCCTTCCTTATCTTCCCCTCCTCTTTATCTCCTTTCCTTCCTTCCTTCCTTCCTTCCTTCCTTCCTTCCTTCCTTCCTTCCTTCCTTC